AAAAAAAGCTCTCTTAGCAACTGTCAATGCAATGAGTACAGAAGTAGATATCAGAATCTATAATGTTTTCTAAGCTGACTGAAGGCCAATGACAATCAACAACAAAGACATAATACTTGTGCAATAATTACACCAGTTAAAATGATACTACTGGCTGCTTGTTTGTTTAGCAATACCCTGTAATGTCACACTGTGCAACATATACATACATATTAGTAATTATAGTATGTATTACCCTCATCAGCTACCTCATTACTTTCTACTTGATTTTGTATAATGCTACTAATTACCTCTTTATACTTAATTATTATTTGATCTTAAATGTTTAATATGTGTGCATGGCACTTAATTAAACATTGTTTTTTAGTTTATATCTTTGGTGTAAAGATGTACATTTCCCCTCTGTTTGACCAACATTGGTCTTGCAATATTTTATATCTACTCAGTTTCTTCTTGCACTATTTTTTATTGTTTTTTTTATCAATGTATTTGTTTTATGTCATATATATTAATGTTGCATTGTTGGAGCAAGCCCAGGGAAACACATTTGAATTGCCATAATCCCACTGTAGCTTCTGTGCATATGACAATAAAGCCTTTGAATCTAATAAAGGGATTCTGATTCACTACAGCGCATGCTAGCGTGTTAGCTATTTTTTAGCCAGACAAAAACAAGTTCTATAACATTCTCACTGTCAACGTGTCAACAAAGTAGAGTCTTCCTTATGTAGGTAAAAGGGGTAAAAACGAACAATATATTTAGCCAAGTATCTTGACAAGAATAACAAGAACCGATGCTACGTGTTAGCAAGCTAATGCTAGCTTAGCCAAGTATCTTGACGAGAATAACAAGTAGCGATGCTAACTGCTAGCTTAGCCAAAAAAGATTGTCTCGTCAATGACTCGCAAACAGTAGGCTGACAAAAATAAACACGCGACTGTTAGCTAGACACACTATTGCTAATAATTGGTATTAGTTTGGCTAATGTTAGCTGTCCAGTTGACAAAAAAAACACTGACCTTAACAAAACAGAATTACTGCGGGGCAGCAGTCACGTATATGACGTTAAGCGTTGTCAAACCAAACAAGAGCGTTAAAGCTATCACCAGCTAACCTTAGCATGCAACGCTAATTAATATTAGCCTTGTTGTCGCTGGCTAACGTTTTGCCAGCTCGACAGGATGCTAATGGGATTTTTTTGACGAACAACAGCTTCGTTACAACTAACAGATTCAGCCTTTTTGGGAACAATCTGGTCATATGTTCCTATTAAAAATGCACAAGTTGTCTTAGCTAGCAGCTAGCATGTTAGCTGCTAGCTAGCCAAAAAAAGAAATGGCCTCTGATACCTTTAGACACAAAAAAACAGGAAAGCAGGAACGGTATTCGAGATATTTTCGCAACACTGAGTCATAATTCCTCCGATGTATTTCGATATTGAATAATCTCGAAGGTCCAAGAAACTGTTGGCTGAGATGTCACTGAACATGTCCACCCTTTTGTATAATGTTGTTACCTATTTGTTCCAGTGTTGTAGTTGTAACAGACAGTGCACCAGCAGCTCCTCTTTTCTCTCTCTACTGCTAGTTTCACATCAGCTGAGGGGGCCTACAACTGCAATATACATCCGCGTGATTCATCCGCCAGGGACTACTTAACGCTACTTCTGGGTTTAGCTAACAGCATCTTGTTTTGTTTTTTGACGCTAAGTGAACTGTGGGTTTTCCCCGATACAATTTAAAACATGGCACACAGGTTTCGATATAAAGACGCCAGTTATATGTGTCGTATACGTAAAGATAATGATTGCACCACTGAAGTCATTGGTAACATTAGCTTGTCACAAATATGAAGTATCAATCCGCTGGGTCGTGAACCCCCCCGTCCCCCACACGTTATACAAACATAAAACAGTAATGTCTATGATGTTTTGCTACCTGTACGGTATTCTGTCTTGAGTTGTAAATTGGTGGTATTGCAATAACAAAAGTATGATACAAATAATACATATTATGCTCAACATAAGCTCTCATCAACAACATCAACGGTTTTCTTTGCAGTTGAGTACATTCTGATATTTTCAGTTGCTTTGCAGTTGTCATGGTTACAGATCTGCGTCCAAAAATGGCGTCTTTGCTTGGGGATCATCTTTTTCAATTTAGTGGTCAGGGTCCTCCTCCTTCAAAAGATTTCTTCCAACTCATTGTCTCCAGAAATGAGGTTGAGTATTTCAGTTTCTATATAATAACTTTATGGTTTGATAAAACCACTTTGTAGTTAAACTACAAAGCAAAGGCTAGCTTACATTTAATCTAGGCTACTAAATTAGTAAACGTTAGCTTGTTAGCTTTCAGTGGTGGAAAAAGTATTCAGATTCTTACTTGAGTAAAAGTACTAATACCACACTGTAAAATTACTCAATTTCAAGTTAAAGTACTGCATCGAGAATGGTGCTTAAGTTAAAGTATTTAAGTATGATTAGGAAAATGTAGCTACTTAAAATATGACTTGGCTTAAAACATATTTTAAAAGCAAATGCAGCACATTTTAACTTTTCATTTAAAATATTTTTTGAAGAAAATAGTTCTTAGCAGAATAAGTGTGAATACATTTTCTGTTAACCCACTCATGGTTTTGGTCACCTAAATATAATGGTGGATGGTTTAATCAATACAAAATAATCAACATTTAAGTTGTTCCTAAATCCAGTTTCTGAACAGATATGAGGAGCTGTGTGCTAACTGCTAACAGCTAACGGTTGATGTTTTGGTTTTGTGGTTCAACGTCAGTGACGGCAGGCTGAGATCCTCCCTGCTGATTGGCTACCGCGAGATTTGACGCTCGAGTTGAAACAATTGAACTCAAGCGTTTGTCGCGGCATTCGCACCAACCGCTTCATGGGCGCCGTCGGAGCGAATTTGCGTCTGTCCGCATCTCTGCATTGACTTTACATGTAATCGCGCCGCCCCCAAAAATCGCATCGCGTCCGGTGTGAACGCACCATAACGCACGCAGCGTGCGTTGAAGCTTGCCGGTGGGCGTGTCTGAAACTCGACCAACAACCAATCACATGAATCTCCCGCCCCGGACACACAAGCACACGGTTTGATTGGCTAGAGCTTGTACTGGCATATGATTTGATTGGCTGCTGCTTCCGTCGAAGCTTCAAAAGTTGAACATTGCTCAACTTTTGAAGTGAGCAACGCGAGCAAAGCAAAGCGACGGAACCACAATGCAGCCCGGCAAAGCGTGACGTCACCCCATTCAAAGTGAATGGGCAGAAGCGTTGAAGCTTCAACGCACGCCGCCTTGTGGACGGGCCGTAACGCAGCGTCCACACGGCGACGTGCGTTGAATCTTGCCGGTGGGCGTGTCTGAAACTCGACCACCAACCAATCACATGAATCTCCCGCCCCGGACACACAAGCACGCGGTTTGATTGGCTAGAGCTTGTACTGGCATATGATTTGATTGGCTGACGCTTCCGTCGAAGCTTCAAAAGTTGAACTTTGCTCAACTTTTGAAGCGAGCAAAGCGAAGCGACAGAACCACAATGCAGTTTGGCAAAGCGTGACGTCACCCCATTCCCAAAGTGAATGGGAAGAAGCGTTGAAGCTTCAACGCACGCCGCCGTGTGGACGGGCCATATTCTGAGTCAGTATCTGAATTTATAAAGTAGGCCTACCTATATATTTGCAAAAAAAGTACAAAATTGGCCTCCACATGAAGTAGAGTAGAAGAAGAAGAAGAATTGGGAGGGATGAAACCCTCTTTAATGGTCACACATGCAGAGCACACAGCACACACAGTGAAATGTGTTCTCTGCTTTTAACCCATCCTAGTGCAGGAGTCTAGTACTAGGAGCAGTGGGCAGCTACTGTATAGCACGTAGAGTAGAGGCATAAAGTAGTATACAATTAGAATATGTTTGTTTATTTTTTGAAAAGTTGAAGAAAGACTTTGTACCATTATTACAATTTCACCTCTTAAATTAAATTGAGTGAGGTAATCAGTGAATTGATGGCCAAATTATACAGGTTGACTTATTCAAGTTAAATAAACCTAACCTAACATAAGTATTCCTTGGCATTTATATGTACCATAAGCTCTTGGAATAAAGTAATAATGTCCTCACTCTGCCCGTACTGTTATTCAAATTTCAGGTAATATTGACATCTTGGACGATTTCTGTTCGACTTGGTTGCAGGGGTGCTGCACCCAAACAGCAGAAGATATCCCATCATGACTTCCTACATCAGAAAAAGCTACAGCGTAAGGATTCTTCATTAGAACATATGTCCAATCATTGCTGTATACACTTGTCTGCGATACTAAACATATTTCCACTTCTTAAAAAAAAAACAATACTTGTTTGTGCTCAGCATTTGCTTTAATGGAAATTCTCATTCTTCTCATCTGTAGGAGAAGTTAAAGCTTTTTTCGGGGATAGGATCCTTGAACACACAAAGTTACTTTGTCAAGGGAAGTTTGATTACCTGGAGCGCTTAACCGATGACATATTGCTCAAAATCCTGGCCAACCTAGAGCTGAAAGATACAACACAGCTGGCACAAGTTTCACAGAGATTCAGAGAGGTGAGAGCCTCTTAAAATTATACATTTACATATGACCCCTTGTGCTATTTTCCATTTCACTTTCCCTCTCTTTGATGTGTACCTTTGTTCCCATGTATATTTGTACACTGATAACCACACCTGTTAATCTGCATGTGTTTTATTATCTTTTGTGACCCTACCAGATCTGCGACTCTGAGAAGTTCTGGGAGCAGACTGTGAGGAATGGCTGTGCTGACTTCACCAGGGACATGGAGGGCATAGCAGGTGCCATGGGCTGGAGGAAGATGTTTTTTACCTTTTTCCACACCAGTGGCCGTAAGGGCCAGCAGTAAAGCAATTGAACAGTTTATGACGGTTCTAAAACAACTGTAATACAAATGCTTTTACAGAGGATGATTAGTCAGTATTCATGTGGTATTTTGTGAAGCAATATTCAGTGTTATTTGTGAGTTTAAGTGAGTGTTCTTAAGATGACTGTTAGGTCGAATAAACTAAACATGTATGTAAAAAGAAAAAAGTATATTATGGGTACTTTGGATGACAACAACTGACACCGGTATTCAATGGATAAAAACATGTTACTTGAAAATTGTGTATGTTGCAAAGAGTTTAAATCTGGAATATTACTAGTAAATAAAAAGTAGAACATCGTGTATTACAACCTTATCCCATCATGTTTCCTGAGTCATAAACCTTATACAAAAATTAACTAACTAACTAATCCAAAAAGGCCTTTATATATACACTTTAGCAACCAGAGTCCTGCAGACAAACATTTAGTCATCATATTGCCTACTTCCTGTTTACATTTGCAAGATAACGGTTGTTGCGCCCTCTGCTGAAACCCTCTGCGCTCAATGCTGTCTCTGCTTACAGCCAGCCTGGGTTTAACATGGTCTCTGTGCTTGTCATGTGTGCAGCCAGCAGAGGGAGCAACATGGCAATGAAAACTAGAGTCAGATGATGGGAGGAGGAAGATAAGCAAATAAACCCTTAGGTAACGTGTGCAAAACAAGTAATTCTGGTAACCATGTCCAGGCCTAAAGACCAGAACACACTTTTCTGGATTGCACAAACAGCTCTGTAGGGGCATCAGCTACACCGGTCCTACCTCAACTGAAACCTGTACAAGCCAACTACAGTAACCTAAGACTAAGGTATGCACTACTTTTTTTTCTAACAGGTACCTTAGTGGACAACATATGGTACAATAAATGTTAGCAAGACAGACTTAAATACTGTCTTTGATTCTTATTGTCACTAAAGGATGACAAAAATAGAAACACAAGCATTAGTAATCGTCCGGTGTTAAGGGACGAGAACATTGTGTGGTTTTCCTGTGTTATTTTAAAACTCCCCTCAATATTAAATAGTCTTCCATCCAAATGATAGCTAGGTGTTGGAATGATCTGACATAACTGCGTACAGTCTCGACTGGTCGCCACTATGGCCTATTATTAGCTACTGCACACTGGATACCGCCTTCTGAGCCGAGTCTGGTCTAGGAGGAAAAATATTCATTACGTAACAATAAAGGATCTGTCTCCCAGAGCCACTTCCTGAATGCCGTCGCAGCAACTAGGCCCCAAACCGAGGCAGAGCGGAAGCCTCATCCATTTGTTTGCTGGAGCCGTTCTTTCCAGCTTATCCTTTGCCTCCACACACCCCTCCTTCACAGCTCCTCTTTGTGGGTCAGAGATGCAGCGGGAGTGACGCAGCAGTGGCAGCAGCCCTCCAGAAGACAGCTCAACACAGTCCAATCAGGAAACCAGAATACACAGACGGGAAGAGCGAGGATGATGAAGGTCTGATCTGGTTCCAAAGGGAGAACGGGAGCCGGGTAATAGTCACTGTCTTTTTCCTCCTAAACAAACACCAGAGAGACTTCCACAGAGACAAGACCTTCCACACAGAGACATCTTGGTATAGGCGACTCAAAGTGTGAGTGCGGGTAATGGCAGTCACATAAATGCTACCAGGGATGAATGTCTTTCTATGCTAAGAGTGTGAATGCGTTGAGCATGAGGATGAGGCCTGCTCTTCCTCCCTGCTGATCGACGTCTCTACAGGCTGTAGCTTACGGAGCATCACAGGCCTGTATATCCTGACACAAACTAGCTGCGATGACAAGGGTGCTGCTTACAAAGTATTTCAAATGATCCACAAAACAGTTATATTTCAGCTTTCAGTAATGGCCGTGATTTGATTCCAATTTGGAACGATTTCTCAGTTCTTTGAAAAAATAAAGCTTTAGTAATGGTTCTCAATCCCGTGGACCGTGTATGCTAGATGAACGCAAGTGCCTTTCAGTTTACATGCATTATTACGATTGTGTTAGTATTGTTTTATGTTAGAAAGACTACATGAAAACCATTAAATTAACAAAGCTTAATTAACATAGCTTGAATAATGGTTCTCAATCCCGTCAACACTAGATTATGGAACATATTTAGGATGGCCCAGGCAGTTCAAAATACAATGGCTGAATAGTCCACCATATGTAGGAGTTCAAAATCATTTAAAAAGCCTTTATTTCCTTGGCTTAATGCAGATGAACTTCAGCTTACATGAATTATTGGACAAGTATAAGTAGTACATAGCGTACAGGCAATGTTAGGGGATTGTTTTATGTTAGAAAGACCACTAGGTTGTTGACAAATTATCAGTCTGCCCACCATCAAAACCTGCATCCAGTTCAAATCATCAGAGTTACTAATAAAAGAAACGCCATGTTAAATGTTACAAATATAAAACTGTATATATTATCTTTAAATAAAACCTGGCTTGGCTTGACATAAATATAACTAGAGTTAACCTCCAACTACTCCTATCCCTTCACAATATTTTGGGTGTTGTTTGTTCATGTGACTTCATATTATGTCTGTCTTTGCTGTGACTTAAACGTTATTTCTATGACGTTGACATGTTTGACTGACAGCAGTCTCTGTTAATCAATCAGCTGTGGTGGTTGCTGCATCCCACTTCTATTCTAGCCAAACCCCCCCCCCGCCCCCCCCCCCCCCCCCCCCCCCCCACACTCCTAGGTTTCCAAATGTAGCTTGTATAGCTCCAGTTATAGAAAGTATGCACTGAAGCCACTTTTGCCTTGGATTGTTATTTAGTACTTAGTACTCTGGCTGCTGCCCAGGCTAATATAGGGGTCTTCAAGGAGGCTGTCAGCAGCAAAAATAGAAGACTGAGTATTTGTGCATCACGAAACCAACACAATGTAATGTACCGGGGACAGAAAAAGGAACAGGACATAACAGCAGCTAAGACCAAAAGCACAAACACCCCATGAATAGCTTATTTCCTTCCTTTAGGGCAATGAGTACGAGCCTGCATAATGATATGGCACCTGCTACTCAGTCTTTTGAAGTTATCGGTACAAGAAATGCACTTGATTTCAAACTGTTGTAAAGTGGGTCTCAGCCAGCATTAGGAGAAGACCACACAGTGATATGACTGCACTCAGTTGTGTAAATTAAAGAGCTGCCTGTGTCCTCAGAGGCTAGCGAGAGGCTCACAGTGCCACGTCGGGTTCAGCCTCCTCCCCTCCCCCTCGTCTGCAGTGCTGACGCATCTGCTGCCTTTGCATCAATCAGCAGCCTCTATATAGGTACACTGAGAATCCCCTTTTAATAACAGGACTGTTGTTCCCACCCTCAGCCACGCTTTCACTTTGCAAGCTCACTGCGATAGTGAGAAAAAGCATGGATGAACATCTGTCCTCTCACTGCTCTGATGCACAATAGGACAGTTCCATCTTCTCTCTGGCTCTGCATTACCTAACCACAGTGTCTGCGCAAGCACAGGCTTTGGTGTTATATATTGCTGCACGGAAACACGATGTGTGTGCATGAAGCAGATGGTGCAGCGTTATGCATTCAAGGTGCATGTGAGATGATTTTGTGTCATGCAAATTACGTTGTTCCTTCTGGTCAACATGGATGCAGCGGGATACTGCTGGAGATATTTAATTCAGCATTAGTACAGCAGCGTACCCCTCACTCTGTGCTGCCACCAGCAATGCAGCTGAGCGCTTTCTATCAGGCTGTATCATTGAGCACAGAGCTGGTGTGTGATGTAGCACCCAGCATCTCTCCGCTCTCCCTACACTCCTCTGCCACGCTTAATAAAAGTTGCCGCTTCCTGTTCAGTGGCTCCACAACGAACGCTTCAGTTGCCCAGCTAGCACAAAAGACAGACCCATACTCCGGGTTTAGCTACATGCCGTATGAACTGCGAGTTGTTGGTGTAGTAGGACAGGAGATGGAGAGCCAGAGGACGGCAGGGCAGATGTAGCTCAGGACCCGGGCTGCATGGAGAGAGGCGAAGGACGGTGAAACGGGAGTCATCTGCACACAGAGAGGGAGGGAGAGGAAGAAAGACGTCAGAAAAAGCTCTGCTTCTGACAGCACCACTGTTTCAGCGACCATCATAGAAAGAAAACTACTTTCGCTTTGCTTTCACAAAACTGTTTTTCACGTATAGTTTGTATATTGAGGGCTTTAGAGAAGGGATACTGCATGACACCGTTTCCTGGTCGCCGTGCATCATTCTCTCAGATTTTCTAAGGTATGTTTGCACGGTTTCCCTCAATTCGTTACCTGTTTCTGAGCGGAAGTGCACTTTGCAGAGAAGCGTGAAGTGGCTTTTGCTTTGACATTTCGCTCTTTGTTTGACAACACTGTGTCTATACTATACTGTCATTTTCTTGGTTTGTGGTTTGCTGTGTGGGGATTTTTATTTCACAGTTTGAGATGTAAAAAAAATAATAATATCACATGAGCTTTGAAGGGAAAGTGTAGGGTGGGTGTGGCACAATCCTAAACATTTCCGCTCGGCATGTGTTATACAATACACAACAATACTGGTGTAAAGTGTGAGAAATTACAGTGGTTAAGTAAAAAAAGCCACATAGATGAAAAAACGTTTATGTGAACAGCAGGTATCAGTTCAAAGCCGTGGCACATCACTTGCTGTTATCAGATGAGAAAGTCCTTTGGGTAGCATTTCTGCTGCAGACAAAGACACACACCAACACACACACACACACACATACACACAAAGTACATTGAAGCAGAGACAAAGGCAAACCTCGTCGCTCTGTGGACGGCTGCGAGCGGCAGGTTCTCAGAGAGGGCAGGATGTTTGTGGGAGAGAGGGGACCGAACACCCCCGGACAGCTAAACACACTCACTTGCTATCAGGCTGAATCCCAATAAGTGCTGCGCCATAGCATGTTGCCATGACAACGGAGGCCTGTCTGAGAAAGAAGGCAGGAGGCTGTGTTTTCAGCCGATGGAGAGGCTTAAAAACACGGCGGCCATATTGTATTTGTTGCACGAGGACAAAATTGAATTTTTTTTTTTTTTTAAATGAAATCACTGATTAGTTACGTAAACTCCTTGGAAGTAAATGAGCAATACTGTGAATGTATGTCCATTAAAATAAAAAAATGTAACTCATTTCCAAATGATGATGCGTATGGGAGATAACATTTTTAAAACACGAAACAAATTAGATATAAAATGGAGCTGCCTCTTGATTTAAAATAGCTTGGGACCATCTTCACAGTATAATTTAAACAGATTAAGGCCGTTTCTCAATGTCGAGTAAACCTGCTGCAGAGCCACTATTTCAAGTATACTACGTCATCGAGTGGCGCCGAAGGACTGTTCAAATGCCCAGCTTTCGGCGCCACTCGATGACATAGTATACTTGAAATAGTGGCTCTGCAGCAGCTTTACTCGACATTGAGAAACGGCCTAAATCTCATATCATGACAAATTAAGCTCTTTTTGACCTGTTTTTCACTCGTAAAGCACCAAGAACAAAGAACAAGTTTACAACAGAGAGACTTTGAAAACAGCTCTCTGCCTTCAGAGTAGCAGTTTGCTGAATTGTCTTCCAAGGAGGAAATTCCACCGCTGTATGACTTTCATTGCAGCCTTAAATGAGGATGATGTCAGATATTTAAATAGCGTTGATGCAGGTGTGATGATTCATCCCTTACAAAGGCAAGCTGAGAGCAGAAATGCAGTCAGCCTGAGACATGCTATATGACTCATAGACCCATGCACTATAGACAAACTACCATGACTCTGTTATGCGTAGGCCAAAGTTAGAACTTCCTATTTCTAAAGTGAGAATGAATGAACTTTGACTTCCTCTATAATGTTGGAAATAATTTAGTTTCTTACTTATCCACAAATGCTGCCATGTCGATATGCATTGCCTGTCTGGGTAGAAATCTGTGCAGCGCGTGTTATAACTGGAGGACTAAGTTTGTGTCATTAATAGGTCCTATTATGCTTTTTGGGGTTTCCATTTCCTGTAGTGTGTTATATGGATTTCTGTGCATGTAAATGGTCGGCAAAGGACAAAATCCCTGTGTCCCCTCCAGAGGGAGTTTCTCTCCCACACACCCTGTCTGAAACGCCTCCATAGGACACCTTTGTTTACTTCTGTAACATAGTGACATCCCTATGTAATGCTTATATTTGCTAGCACTCCAACACATTGTACGTGATAGGCTAAGGGTAGAGACATCTTTAAGCAGTTGACCAATCAGAGCAGACTGAATAGAATAGAACTGAATAGAGGTGCTGCAGTACAGGCCGTATGAGAAAAGTAAAGAGCTTTATGAACATTAAAGCATGGAAACATGTCACAATAGGGCCTTTTAAGATAACGTATTTAGTACAATACTTTAAGCATTTCTGCTGCTTTGTAAAGGCCCAAAATGTTAGTGTATCTAAAGCAGGGATTATTCTGCTCCTGTGCTACATTACATTGTATCAGTGGCTGCCATTTCCCTCATGAGGCATTAATGAATTATTTCCTGAAGTTGCTAGGGTTGACAAAAAAATGTATCTGGGACAAGTGAAAGGATGTCACTACTGCCAACTGACGGAAAACGGAAAAAGGGAGCAAATTAGTCATTAGTGCGTAACTGTCTGCATGTAATTTACATATTAACCCAGGCCATGAGAATAATAAGACTGTCATGACAACTAAACCAGGCTGCAGAGCTGTGGAAGTACACGGAATGGATTTACCACCCAAACTGAGTTATTATCAGCAATAATGAGAGAGAAATCTATGACTGAGTTTATTTTAGCAGGCGCAAGCAAAGACTTCTCATCAATACAAGTCTTAGAAATCATCTCACGACTTCTGTTTCTGGGATTAATGCAATATGAAATTGGGTTGATCATGACATGAACACTTCAAATATGAAACATGGCAACATTATTGACTCATATATTGAGTCATGTAGTTCCACGAAATGTCAAACTTTTAGTACTCTTATGTAATCTCAGTATTGTACAACACACTGCCATCTAGATGTTTTCTTGTGCAACCCGCTGCAGCATTCAGGAGTTCAATGTCTTGCTCAAGGGCATCTTGACAATAGGATTAATAGACATTACTCAAACAATCATTGCTCCAATCATAGCACTGACAAATGTTTGATAGCCCAATGTGACTGTATTACATTAATAAGGTTTTCCGAATACAATGAGAAAAGCTTTAAATAAAAATCCCTAAATATAGCCCTTAGAAGAGATTAAAAACATCTTAACAAGAGAAACAAGAATAACAACAAATTAAATAAAAGAGTTAGGATAGTAGGGGCAAAAACTAGTATAATAAAGGCATCCACCATTCCATATATTATGTATTGATGTTTACATTCTGTATTTAACTCAGCACATGTTTCACTCATTTAGGTTTAAACACTTAATGTATTTATTATTTATTTCAAGATGGAGATTATGACGTATTGATTGTCTGTTTTCCAGACTGTTGGCACTGGAGCTCATCTCTCAGGACATTACTGCCATCTAGTGTTAAAACACTAGAACAGCTAAAACATTACAAAAACAAAATGTACTCACATCTTCATTCTTATATAAAATCACAGCCTGATCCACCATTTTGATGAAATCTGAGTAACAATTTTTTTCTCTTTCTTCTTTGTTTTTAGATGACTGTGGTGTCTCCATGCACTCAGAACCTGATGGATAGTGCTCATCCTCACACTGTGCTCAGCAAGCTCAATGAGCAGCGCTCACAAGGCCTCTTCTGCGACGTTACCATCGTGGTGGAGGATGTGAAGTTTCGGGCCCACAAGAACATCCTGGCAGCCTGCAGCGGGTACTTCAGGAACGCTCTGACGACACCTGAGACATGGAGCTCCGACCAAGTGCTGGAGCTGATGGACCTTAAGTCCGAGGTGTTTGCCAGTATCCTGAACTTCATCTACTGCTCAAAGGTGACATCGCCGGGTGTGGAGGACACACGTGTGCTGGTAGCAGCTGGAAAAAGACTTGGCATTCCTTTTTTGGAGAAGCTTGCAGAACAAGAGAGGCAGGACCAATGTGTGAAATCCACAGACGGTAGCAAAGCCACAGTGTCAATAAAAACGAAACAGGAAGCTTCCAGGCCTGAGGACGTTGACAGGGGGCCACGCATCACCAACGCCTTCTCTATCAATGAAGTGTGTTCTGGGACCAATCTTTTCACCCCTCTGGTCCAAACCAAAGGGGAGAGGCAGTCTCCAGAGGTGGGACAGCTTCCATCAAGTTCTCCTACAACCTCCTGCCTCAATGTGAACAATGAGACAACCCACACCCTCTCAGAGCACTCATATGCAGTGATAACATCATTTGAAGGCAAAGACAGCAGTCAGTGGGATAACAAGAAGGTCTTTAAGCCAGCAATATCTCAGTCAAAGCAACTCAGTTACAGGAACGCAGGTCCGCTCAAAAAGCGCCACAGGCTGAGACTAAATTTGTGTCGAAGTATACTTCCAAGACCAGCTGAATCGCAAGCAGATACACCCAATACAAAACCCCCGACAGAAGCTGATGGTGTTTCTAAAGCACCTGTTGCAGTCATGACCCCACCTCCTCTTAGTTCAGAAGCAGAAACAGAAACATGTAAAGGCCCCGGGCTACCAATAGCCACTGACAATGTTCAAATGGAGTTAGATCCACCAACCCTTTCCCCTCACACTGAAGAAAGCATTTCAATATACGCATGTGAACAATGTCCGGAGATATTCACAAATCAGGCTCTTCTCGCCGTTCACTCAGAAGTACATAAAAAGCGTTTTATCAGTCATTTGTTTTGCAAGTTTTGTCACAGAAAGTTCATACACCTCAAACGGCTGCGCAACCACGAGCAGGTCTGTCCCAAGGCTGTGAGAAGCTCGCCTAAACAGGATTCTTCTGACATATCAACCAAAGAGGTGGAACTACATTCAGATTCAGACGAGCCTAACACTGAGAGCAACGCAATACAGCTTCCTTCTGCTGACCTCTCCACCCCAGAGCCCCTTGAAATGGACCAATCAGAGCCTTCACGGAACGAGAAGGCGGTGAGACCAGGCGGCAGTCAGAGGAGATACAACTGCAGTGTGTGTAAACGCGTCTACATCACCTTATCCAGTCTGAAGCGGCACGAAAATGTACATTCCTGGCAGAGGGCATACCCCTGTCATTATTGTAATAAAGTGTTTGCATTGGCAGAGTATCGAACAAAGCACGAAATCTGGCACACAGGGGAACGCCGCTATCAGTGCATTTTCTGCCTGGAGACATTCATGACATATTATATCTTAAAGAACCATCAGAAGTCTTTTCACGGCATTGATCCTAATCTAGCTGTTAAGAAAAAGTCCGCTAACGGTGGTTTGAAAGCCAGTGTTTATCCAATCAAACTCTACAGGATTCTGCCTATGAAGTTTAGAAAGAGAAAATACAAGACATACAGTCAGACATTTTCAGAGGTTGATGAAACAGGTGACAAAGCCCCGCCAGAGAGCAACTCTCTCATCCCTCCGTTTGAAGAAAACGGTCTCATCAGTAAGTCTGACTCTGTTTCATTCCCTCTGACATTCATGGCAACTCCAAAGATGGTGTCACCTGTCATGCCACGCATCAGCTTTGACAAGCCATGTGACCAAGATGTTGACCACAGTGATTTGGAAAGAAAAGAGGCGGAGAATGAAAATTCACCAAACATTGACTTTGAGTTTCCCGCTATAAGTTTCAAAGGTGATCCTACAGTACTTAGTAACTCAGAGCACATCAGTCATAATGTGCCGTTCTTTAACTCTTTGAACACTGTTAAAAAGCTAGGTGAGCTATCAGCTTCTGCAAAAAGGGTTGAGGATATGACCAAGGAGCTTCTTCAATCAAGCAATGAGAATCTGGCATACGATAAAAAGGTAGGGGCAAAGACTGAAACATATATCGCCAAACCTGCGTGCCCGGGTCCATCTGTGGATGGTGCCGCCATGCCGCTCTGTCAGATAACAGTGAAAATCGGCAATGAGGCCATAATCTGCCGCCAGATCAAAGGTTCCAAGCTCTTCCCCAGAAAGAAAAGGAGAATCAGAGAATTGGGTGAAGAGGAGAGCTCCAGTCAGTGTCTTCCAACACGGGAAACCTCGGAGAGCCCTCGGCTCCGACTGAGACAGGAAGTCGCTTCTGCCAAAGCGCATACGAAGACATACGAAGATCCCAATGACTGCGACACAGCCGACATGCTGTGGCGTCCTTACTATTCTTACAAATCCAAAAAGAAAACAAAGAAGTTGAGGTTCAAGTGCAGAAAGGCTTTGTTTCACGGTTATCCTGAAACATCTGTAGATAGAACGGCTGCAAGTGAGGCCCACATCGAGAAAAGTAGTGGGCTGATAGAAGAGAGCACGTCCGGTGGGAGTGGAGAAATGAAACGTAGCCTGAGCAAGAACTCCAGCCCGAGAGCCACCTACATCTGTGACATCTGTGACAGCTCTTTCATCACAGAGACAGGTCTGAGAGCTCATGTTATTGGTTCCCACCCATGTTTCTGTCGCACATGCGGTAAACAAGGTCCTCCTGGTGAGGCACCGGCCGGTGGGGATTACATCTGCAGCAGCTGTATGGAGAATGGCTCCTGCTTTGATAATACATCACGGAGCCCCAACCCAGAGAAGAAGTATCGCTGCTCCTTCTGTCCCCAACGGTTTCTTTATCTTGCCACCAAGAGAAGCCATGAGAAAAAACACAAGGAGACAAACGAGGAGGGATATAACTCTGACAACTTCACAGCGTGCTCTCAAAACTCTGCACACCTGAGTGAAGATACTAAACAAGACATAAAATAGAAAACAGTGGCAACCAAGGGACGCTGAAATAAAAAGTGAACGAGTGGACGAAGAATATCTTTCCATTGATAAAATGAATCCTAAAATTGAGGACACGACAGGTGACTTAGTGTCTTTACCGACCTACCAAGACATGTCATACTCCAAAATTAAAAGTCCGTTATCGCCGTGCATTGGCACAGTGTTTTCCCTGACATCCTCCAGGGTGAAAAATAAAATGCCGAAAAAAAGGATCAATCCACAGCAATCTATGCATCTTATCTCAAAAAAGCAAATCTGTGACAGAGACAGTGACGGCAACAAGGACATTTTGATGGGGCAAAAAACGACCAGTCACAATGATCTTGATAATTCCTATAAACTCTTGAGGAGAGATGACTCTGAAACTCAAGGTAGCCACATTTCTATACACAAGCCGGAGAAATGGACGTGCAAAGAGGAGCCATTTTTCTGAAGATTTCTGAGGAAATCAATTGGCAAAATAAGAGAAAGATACTTGACGTTAAACCACTGCTATTGGTGAGGAAATGTGAGAGTGTTGTCTTTGCAGTCGAGCTTAATGAAATGTTTTTTGAAAGGACTAACAATAAGGACCTATGGTGCGTACCAGTTGTACTGGGAAGTTGGAAATCATAGCTGTACATGACGTCAAACAAAAGTTGAGGTGTTCCAGGTGTTGCCAGGTTAGCTTTGTTAGCAGTACGCAATATGCTCTATTTTACACACACATACTCCGTAGCAACATGTCCACTTATAAAAGTTGGACAATAATGTGTGTACGACTGTTTTAAGGGGACATGAATATGACAGGAGTTGTAATAGACTGTACATTTCTCAAACTGTTCAGGGTTGGTGAGCTTCTCCTCACTTTTTGAGCCAAAAATCCAACTCCAGCTGCAGGATTTTAGACCAACCAGTACAAATGCAATGCACCACTAATACCAGTATACGCTGTCATTTCTTCCCTCCAAAACTCAGCAACGGAGTGTTATTTTTGTTGATAGGACCTTCTGAAACAGACTCTACTTTGTCTGTTCTCTATGCATATATGGCAGACACACTGGCATGACTTAAAGCAATTAAATAGGATGGGTACGAAGTGTTGGAGAACTGAAAAGCTGCCTAGTGTGGTGACATCTTCACTTTTTACATATACTGTATATGAAGAAAACTGTATGAACTGTCACACTTTTGAATTTCACGTTCAGTTACCTGGCCTGGTGAGTTGCACTTTATAGTTAGACTATGCTTATCTGATTGTTAAATACTTTGATTGATATATTAAGATTTCTAATTAACACATGGAACTATTGAGATGAAAGTAACCACTTATGTATGTTTTAATATGTATCAAACATGTAATTATTCAAATAAATGTTGTTGATATTATAAACAGTTACACCCTGTCCTTCTTTGGCCTGGTTCTGAATCAAATGCAAAGTACTCTCTACTCACAGTTTTTGACTAACCACTGACTAATCACACTTACTAATGTTCAGATAATAAAGAGGATCATTACAGACAGCTAAAACGTAAATGTGTGGAGTGGAACATTTAAAAAAAAGTAGGATTTTAACGGTCGTATTTTCAAAAATCCTGTTCAGAGCAAAGAATTTCCTAAATATAAATCCACATGGAGGTTATCTGCTGCTCCCGGTCCTTAAGGGACCTGCCGCCCATCTGAGAAGTCCATTCCCTCGTTCTTACACACACACACACACACACACACACACACACACACACACACACACACACACACACACACACACACACACGTGTGCGCGCACACGCACACACGCACACACACACACACACACACACACACACACACACACACACACACACACACACACACACACACACACACACACACACACACACACACACACACACTACATCTGTATTTATAGTTGGGCCTCAAGACACAGTTTCCAGATGTTTCTGAATTCCTTGCTTCTTTCTAAGACTTGGCGCGTGATGTAACAGATGGATCATGAATTTGAGGTACAAGGCACTGCTCAACACACTGGTTATGCCATGGAGGCTATTTTTCATTAGTTTAATAAAGGATAATTAATACTTTTTAAATGCTGATAGCAGCAATTCATGTAGTAAAAGTGATACTGTTCCAGATTAAACGTGAGCAGCATTTTCAATTATGTTTCATTCATGACAAGTTAACATAGCTAATGGCATCAGGAGCCAATGCCGGCAGTGGCTCAGTCAGTAGGGGCTTGGACTGTGAGCTGTAAGGTCGCTGGTTCAAGTCCCCAACCAGACCTAAATATGGAGTGTGGACTTCTACTTGGAGAGGTCCCAGTTCACCTCCTGCCCTGCCGTGGTGCCCTTGAGCAAGGCACCGGACATCCCCTTGCTCCCCGGGCGCTGTACAATAGCTGCCCACTGCTCCTAGTACTAGACTCCTGGTTCTAGGATGGGTTACAAGCAGAGAACACATTTCACTGTGTGTGCTGTGTGCTCTGCATGTGTGACCATTAAAGAGGGGTTCATCCCTCCCAATTATATATGCACTTTGAGATAAGTAAAACAATTAGTTTTAATGTTAAATATTCATATTATTGTTTAGTAAGGAACGGGTGATATAATCACTATATTGTACAACAGCTACTTTTGTAAAATATGATACAAATCCAAGAGGGACTTCACATAATGATAAATAGTTCTTATTTTTTTGATGTTGTAAAACACTTTAGAAATGTTTTATTGGTCTAATTTATTACGGGATTTCAAATACAAAGATGTGCTTTATAAAGCCTTAACTTATCGACTATATTAGATTAAAAGACGTGAAATATTCTATATGAAGAGTCTTTATGTCCAGTATGTTTCTGAGAAGTTTGTGACATGATTTGCAGTTCAAAAGATCGAGCAAAAGTTATCTTAATAAAAGTGCTGTAAACTAGTGCCACCTACATGTAAACAGGAGACAATACATATAAATAGATTAAAATGCATACCTGGTTGCCTCCAAGCCTTCCTGCTACTATCGGTGATGAGGATCGTGTCGTGCTTTTTTATCCAATCAAAACGAACATCATCTGGAAAGAGAGGAACATGAAATGATGTATGAAATGTTATCATCCAATGAGATTTGATTACTGATTGAGATGAATGTAAATAAGTAATCTTTGAATCTAAGATTTTGAAAACTTGTGCAATATTGCTTATACACTTGGGAGGTCCCCCCAAAAATCCCATCCGTGGTCTCACCAGATATGTTTTCCTCTTATTGTGTAGTTTCTAAAGGCACCTAAATCTCGCACTCTTTGGTTAAAATCAAAATTTGCATTCATTTAGCCTGCCAACTTTTTCTAGATCCCATAGCTGTGATGTTTGCAGATATTTCAACAGCGTCACTTTCCATCATTTGCTTGTGACCTTTGTAAGGTTTCTTTTGCAATATTGTTAAGATCTCACCAGTTTCATAAGCCTGAAAAAAGGAGTGGTAATTCATACACACCCGGTGATGTATATCCAAAACACATGTCTTATGCAGACAGTATTGGAAGAAGTATGTTACTTAGATATTATACTCAAGTAAAATAGGCTGCTATGATAAATCCCTACATTTAAAATCTAACTTAGATATAAGTACAAAAGTATTAGCATCCAACTATACCAAAATGACCAAAAAGTATAAGTTGTCTTTGTGCAGAATGACCCATTTCAGAATCATATTGTGTGTATAGTGTGTGAAGTTACTGAATCTTTCAAATTGAGGTATAAGGTGGAGGAAAAGGTGCAAAATAAAAAGTAGCACATATGGAAATAGGCCAAGTCAAGTTAAGTTCAAGTACCTCAAATTTGAACCTTAAGGTGTTTTATGTATATGTATACATTTTAAAAGTGCCCTAGTCAGCTTTAGGGACATTAGCACTTTGTTGTATTCAATGATTTGCAATACATTTTTCAATAATATTAGTAATGGGCTAAATTAAACGTGTATTGGAGTAGTAGAAGAAGCTTATATTCGAAATACTCAAGTTAAGTACCTCAAATTGAACTTAATGTAACTTCCAACAACTGAATACAGGCAGTGTTAACCAAAAAAAACATTATTATATGTTCTTTAGCTTAATATTAATATGTTCGCGGACGACTCAGCCCTGCTGGTCTCTGACAGGAGCAGATTGCAGGTTGAAAAAACCCTCAGCTCCGAGCTCGGCAGAATCTGCACCTGGCTCGCCGATAATAAATTATCATTACACCTGGGTAAAACAGAGTCCATTCTCTTCGGTTCGAAACATAATCTCAGCAAATCCGACGACTTCTCAGTTGCAGTGGGTGACATTATTGTCACAAGTAAGAAGGAAATTACATACCTAGGATCTATTCTTGAGGCAAACCTCTCCTGTGACAAAATGGCATCCAATGTAATAAAAAAAGTCAATCAAAGAACTAGATTCCTATACCGGATCTCCTCTCTGGTAAACAAAAACACCCTGAAAACTCTGGCAGGAGCACTCATTCAAGGGTACTATGACTATGCTTGCACGTCATGGTACCATAGCACCTCCAAGGCGCTAAAAATAAAACTTCAAACATCGCAAAATAAACTGGTCAGACTACTGCTTGACCTTTCATCTAGAACCCACCTCACCTCTGCCCACTTTGACAACCTAGGATGGCTTAGAGTAGACGACAGAGTACAGCTACTTGCAATGGGCCTGGTCTACAAGATCCACTACACCTCTATGGTACCCATGTACATGTCAAAATTCTTCCCAAAGGTCAAGGAATACCATGATCATAACACCAGAGGGAGCTCCACAAATCATGTAAAACCCAGATTTGGCACAAAAAAAGGGGAATACACGTTTCGCAATTATGCCACATCAAGGTGGAACGCTCTTCCCACAACTGTAAAGGAAAGTAAAACTATACTTACCTTCAAAACCTCTCTTAAAGAGCACCTTCGGGGGAAAGCATTGCAAAACTGGCCCCGGTAATGGTACAAATCTCAACCTGTCGTACAATGGACAGCTTCCCCCCCCCCATCTATGTATATACTCGCATTTTAGACTCTGTTACTAACTGTATATCTGTAGACTTGGTATGTCTTAAATGTCCGGCTAGGATGTATTAGAACGAAATCTAAAATGAAAATTGTAAATAAGCCATCTGTATGTAAAAAACCACCTGTATGTAAATTGTAAATAAGCCATCTGTATGTCAAATATGTCTTATATGTCTTAAATGATATGATGAATTGGAAATGGGGGGACCCTGATGTAAACAAGACGAAAGTCTTTCTCTGGTCTGCATCCCCTTAACAATTGTATGTTTTGAGCTGTACTGTACTGTACCCAATATACAAGCTGTTAATAAACTTTTCAATCAATCAATCAATAGCTAGCTGAACTTCTCCACAAGTCAAAGTAGTCCTCGTTGAGCAGAGCATGTAAATATAAAAGGGAGCATTGGCGTTGGATAATGAGCAACACTCAATACAGGTATTACATCCCCTTTATACACTCCTACCATCTACCTCCAGCATGAAGTGCTCGTCTTTAGAGGGAAGCTTAATATTCCTCCACACGTTTTAAAGCAGCAGTGTGTGCGGGACGGTGACGCGGCAGTGGGGTTGGCTCTCCTCCGCTCTGCCTGCTTCATAAACGGATATGAGAGAGCAGCACCGGAGCGGCAGTCAACGCTGACCATGGCGGAAGAGGACGACGCGACGGTTAGGATTTTACAGAGCCTGCGGGGGAAAATATGTAAGTCTAACCGGAGGGGATGCGATGTTTCCCGGCTCTCACAATGGGGAGAGGTCGGTGGGGAGAAGCTGGCGGAGAGGGGAAGCCGGAGGGGCGCGGCGTGCCATCAACAGTGTGTGTGGAGGCAGCGGTTGATCTGGTCGGTCTACTGGCTGCTGTTAGGTTAGCTTAGCATGCTAACAGCAGCAGCAGCCCGGTAGCTTGTTGTGGACGCTGTGGAGTTAGCCTAGCATGCTAACAGCAGCCTGGTAGCTGCTTGTTGTGAACGCTGTGGAGTTAGCCTAGCATGCTAACAGCAGCCCGGTAGCTTGTTGTGAATGATTTCATTCATGGAGCCGCCGTCAGTTGTTGCTGTTCTAGCCCACTGGGTGTTTGAAGCATATTTGAAAATGTAACCGTTTTCAAAATAAGGCTGTTTTTATTGTGTTTGTGGATTTGTTGTTTAAAGCTAGGTTAATGTTGGTGGGAAAGTAGGCTAGCTTACTATCAACACTTAAATAATACTTTAGTTACGCCTGAAGTAACAATAACAAGCTAGCCTGCAGTATGCAAAGATATTAAATAAGCTGCACCTTTAACAACTCTGATAACAGTCAAGGCATGACTTTTACTTGTAATAGCATTCCTACTCTCTGGTACTTCTACTTTGAATTAAGTACAATCATTTGAGTACTTCTTCAACCTCTGCTTACTAACAACCGCTTTAACAGATATGTATAGATATATGGATAGAGACTTTATTCATTCAAGCTGGGAAATTGTTTTTGTCACAGCAGCATTTTTGACAGCAAGAATTACATCACTTCTTAAAATAGAATTAAATGTAAAATAAACCTTATAAGCAAATATATATTCACATAGAAAAGACATACAGTACATAACGAAGAGTATCTAAGAATACACACTATAAAATATACAGATTACATGAGAATTCTCTCTAATATAGCAATCTACTAAACGGACAGAAACATATACACATACAATACAATTGTGCACTGTAGGTTTTCATTAAAAGTAAAATATATCCTGTGAGGAAGTGTAAGTAGGCTACAATATGTATGTGCACATTTTTCATGATTATAGAAAGGGAAACCTATGGAGCAGTGAGTTCTCTGCCAGACAGAGTTGTTGTATAGTGAGTAGATACTCACTGCAGGCTGTGCTGCTAGCTAATGTTGGATAATAACAATAATTTCAGCAAAGACATAACGCTGTACTGTAAAGCATATCAAATAAGATCTCAGGCAGCAAAATAGTGACCCCTTTTTCATTGTTTAATCTCAAACAATCTTCTCATGTGTTGCCACCTTTTTTTTAAGGTTAAATATCTCATTAAACTGCCAACTGTATAACCTTACTACTGCCAATAACCTACATTGTATCACATGGTTTATTGATTAATAGGCGGCAGAAGACCCAACTGGAGGACTTGATTTTAAGTTTCGTCCCAACACACAGTTCTCTGCTCTCTGACCTGCATCTGGAGGCTTTAGTACAGAAACATTTATATGCAATCATCATGTCTCATTATGCAACACTAGACGCATGATTACAGCATCTTGGTGGTAGTACAGTAATACAATAGTCATGCATGTGAGTCCGAATCCAGAATGTTGGCTTCAAAGTGAAATGCCTCACAAGCCAATTTCCTCATCCTCTCATGCAGGCTGGTCCAGGGGAGTACCTGCCTGTTTGAATGTGTAAATGTGTTTTCTTCTGCTAAATTACTTGACAGTAAAATGTGTATGGCTCATATTCAAAAGATTAAGCCATTACCAACGTTTTGCGATCAAATGAGTGGTTCCCATTACATATATTTACTCATAGATATGCAGCATGCCATTTATATTATTCTCTGTTTTAACCCACATCCATTAGTGTACGACCACTGCTCCACCATCCTCTCTGTTGGTTAAAAGTAATTTATTATTGTTAGGATTATATATGCCCTAGTGGCATTGCTTCATCTCAACTGGGAAAGTAGACTTCAGCGTTGTCAATCTTCAGACGAAATCAGACGGCACTAAAGCAGATTTTTTCCGTTAAATAATAATGATTATTGTTATTTAAAATATAGGCTCTGTTTGAGTAAGGCTAGGCACACAGTGGGAAGACAAATGTCAGTTTCACTACTATGAATTAATGTGAAAACAGTAAGCAGAACAAAATAGAGGAACTACCGTGGCATGTAACTCACTTTGCAGTCTTACGAAACTCCATTCTTCCTCGTTCACGCTTTGTCCTTTTTCCTTTAGCCTACATCGATGGAGGTGGCATTCTGTAAAAAATAGGCTATCTTGACAGCAGTTGTATGGTACTTTGATATATATATACCCTTATTTGCTGCTTTTGTCTGAATAAAATGAGGAAAAGGCCAATTGACTCAGCAGTGTTCAGCTGAGCTATTCTTTAGGCAGACTCTGACCTTTTGTTGGGTTTTCACAAGGTGACATGCTTCTGTTTTTACTGGAAATGTTGTTGAAGAGACGACAGTAGGGTTGGTTGGCTAAGTAAACTGTTTTGTAGCTGTGTGCATATGCGCTCTACTCCCACCAGGTCACCCTAGTCCAAGTTTAGAGACAACTTGGCTGTTTTCTCCGACCGTTCCTAAGATTATCCATACACCGAGATTATTAATAGCCTGTTTAAAACGCTGATCTCACTGGTGGCTTTCCTTTATTAAGTCTCCAGCTGGGCTTAAGGTACCTATCAACTGCTATGGGACCAATTTAGACTCCTGCCACTCTAATCCACCAGTCCTAAATCGGTTTCACGTTATTGATAGTGCTACTTATCTGGCTTTGATTCGTACAAAACCCCATGGCATACAATCTGGGACTGCCTGGGGATGTGATGGAAGCGTGTGTCGAGTGGTGTGAGTTTCAAAGGTGTTTGTCATTTCTGAATCAGCGCTGTACCGTCGTCATTGGTTATGCTGAGGAAGTCAATGTTTCATGTTTTTAACCACATATGAACCTCAAGTCTACATCAGCTACATCCGCTCTGCAGCTTGCCCGAACTACTTGCAAGGGTCCCCATGTGAACCCGAGGATGTTGAACATAAAAGTGTGTTTTTAAGGTGTACTGTGTATGAGTTTCATCACATATGCTCCTATTTTAATATAATTAGTTTGTACTTTGTGAGCTGGGGGGAAATTAACACATTTTACATCAGAATATTTCAAATCTTTTTTTTGGTGCTTAAGATTAGCAGTAGTAAAACTGTTAGCTAAACTTGAATTGATCTTGTCAATTGCAATACATTTGCAGAGCAACCTTTTTGGATATGATATATTGTATATACCAATATGTCATGTTTGGCCAATAGGGGTAAAAAAAGAAAGACATAGTTTGGTGGCATTTTGAAGAAGCGTGCAATCATGGGAGTTGTATTTACCACAAATGCCATCATTGCCGTCAGCTCCTCCCTGTTGAGTTTGAGGTTTTTACTGGAAGCTGAATAATCCGATGGGATCTTATCACTGAAAACAAATAGACCTGTTGATTTGAATTTAGATAAAAACTTAGAATAAAGCCGTTTCATGTTAAAAATCGGTGTTTCTCACTACCAACAGGTTTCCTGCCGCTTACGTTTGCTCACTTTGTTCCTCTAATAATTCAAGATCCACGACTATAACTAAAATCCTTCATCCAGGTAAAATATAGAGTGAAACCTACCAAGATCTAAGAAGTATATGTGGCTTAAAATAGCACAAAATTACATTTATTACAACACTAACTATGCATCCATCCCCTTTGTAAGCAACAAAATAAAACGGCCCATAACCGTGATTAAACTGAAATAATTATTTAGGTTTAAAATAGTTGGAAATATTTGGGACGACCCTTTCTTTATAGGAATTAAAATGGGTATAGTTAAATCATGGGAAAGGCTGAAGGTATTTTAATTTTTTTGCTCGCATGTCATTTAGTTAATTCTCAGTCAAGTTTCCCTGTAAGATTTATACAACTTAAGACTGAAGGGAGGTATAGAAATAGGGAAATGTGATTACATAGCAGAGGTGGGGATTGTCCAAAACCCATATATGTACCAACGGAAGTACGCATGTGTCTTTTTAAAGGATTAAAAATGATGTAATTTTCCTTTTTAACTGGTAAAGGCTATTGCTGTTTTAATGCTTCAGTCGAGATATTAACGATGTCCTTCTCTTTGTTCTGCAGGTGAGGCTAAGAACCTGGGTCCACTCTCGGGTCCAAATCGACAAAGAGATCTCTGCACCTTCTGCACCATAAGTCTGGATCAGGAGGAGGTGTTTCGCACAAAGGTGTTCGACAAGAGCGGCAGGTAAGCAACGTTACCACTGCATCTCCTACTATACCTCTATCCAGGTACACAGACCTATATTCAGTTTTACAGCCGATACTGTACAGGGAGGGGTTGATAACGATACAGTAAAGTTAAACATTACACACGTTTATTACGTGTCATAAATACTGAATTACATTCTTAAGTGACATAAAATACCACTGAACTACATAATTACTAAGGATGTGGTCAACAGTTATTTTGAAGGTGGTGTCTGTGAGCAAGAAAGGCCTATATTTTATTTTAGATGTATAATATTCACTCAATTATAAGAATCAGAATGCATTTTTTTTAATCCCGGGAGGCAGCGTTTCCGCCAGGGGGGCATCTTGCCGTCATTGACGCCCTTATTCAGCTCAGAGCGCCCTGAACTCGAAGCCGAGGGCGTCCAAAAAAAGTAATAATTTGAGAGGAGATTGAGAGTTTTTATCGCTAGAAATGACAAAAAGGAAAAAAGACAAGGACAGCGCTTCGCGATTGTCAACGGGGGGGGGGGGGGGGGTTGGTAGTGGAGTACAGAGCTTCGTGACCGCGGAGCGTGTGAACGTTGTGATCAGCTGTTTTAGCGCGGGGCTGCTGTACAGACCGACGTTAACAGCAGCCCTGTCTGTGCACAGCACACGGAGACCGGTGATCTAACCGCCTTCTGGAAAAGCTTCACAAGTACGTCGGTACGCAAATGCGCTTTGTGACACAAGTGACGGTACGCATTTCAGATTGTTGCCCCGCATGCGTACCTGCGTACCAGTTATGTGCACCCCTGTTTATTACAATTGTTTACATGTTGAAATATTGTAGATAAACAACAACTATTTATCGAAAACAGCTTTTCATATCTGTCAAAAAATGGTAGGGTGGTATTATTTGTCAAACTATGAACTCTATTTGAAAAATAAAGACCAGTAAAAAGTTTGCAATTTAAATATAGCTGCCTATTACAGAGAAATAAAAGTACTGCCAGTAAGTATTCATTCACATACAAAAAAAAAAAAAATGACATGTCCACATAGTTCATCAGTTAGGGGGGAAAAAATAATATTATGGGAAGTGTCAAAGTCTTCAGTGATGTGTTTCCCGACCGTGTGACGACGTGACTCAGAAGAGGAATGATTGCAGTTGTGTACAGTGTTTCATTGTTTTATTATCCAGTCGTTACTCATCTTTATCAAGTATTGAAGGCGATACAAGGAATCCAAACCTTCCTCCTGTATTTATGTGGGCGAAGTTTCAGGCTCTTTTATTTCCTCCTCATTGTTGAACTAAGTGAACCGCTTCGTAGTGGATGTGTAGCTTAGGTTCCCGTCAATCAATCAACATGCCAAGCTCCAACAGTTTTACAAGAGTGAGGATTTGCTGCTATTATGTCATCGTGGAACTTCAAGGGTCATTTGTTTATTTTGTAAGGAAAATAAGTTTGTTTCAGAATGATTTTAAAATCAGCTAGCGAGTGCTGTTGGAAATAAATGAGCAAAACACGAAAACTGAACTTTTTCCTTTTTAAAGGTGGGGTAGGTAAGTTTGAGAAACCGGCTCGAGATACACTTTTTGTTATATTCCATGGAATGCTCTTAACATCCCGATAGCAATGAATATCTTAAATGCTTTGACAAAAAATCCATTAAAAAATGTCATCTGTGGAAGCCGTAGTACTGTAAAAAGCACGACCAATCATCTGAGCCGGCCCGGCTAAAATAACTGGATGGCCTACCTGCCTGTCAGCCTTCCATCTGTGCACAAACTTATCTCGTGCCCTCATTGGTCATGTGCGCGTTCGTGTGTGTTGGAGGAGGGGCTCTGTAAGGAAGTGGCAGATTTTTTCCGGCTGTGTATTTTCAAATTCTTGCGCACTCGAGCTGGTTTCTCCAAAATGACCTACCCCACCTTTAACTATAACCTATATCTGCTATTGTTATTCTAACCGCCATAATAATTGAAATACATTTCAGGATAATATGCTACATGTGTTTTAATTTAGTTCAACATTTAGTTACCCAACTGTAATGCTCATTTCCAGGTTCATATCAGTATTTTGTCCCTCTACTGTCTCCATGCTTTATTGTTCAAAAAGCTCTTTATTTTTCTCACACTGCCTGTGCTGCAGCACCTCTTTTCACCCTCTGTCTGAAACCAGAGCCCAGTCTGCTGATTGGTTAGCTGGCCGGCTCTGTTGTGATTGGTCAACCGCTTAGCCATGTCCCGCCCCTTAGCCTATCAAATATAATGTGTTGGAGGCTAGCCAATGACTATGACATGACTAACGCGCCTTATTTGACATGAAACAATCTAATCAGTTTGCACGTTTTAGGTTACATGCAATCCAATTTCCACTTTGTTGTGTTGGAGTGCGAAATCTTTAAATTATATTTGTGAATCTTTATTTAAAACATTAAACTTTTGTGGAAGTTACCTGGACTTCTGAGTTGGGATCTACTGGATGAAGGCTGCACCAATGCCCTTTTCCACTGTATTTGGCCAGGTCATCCTCACGTACAATGTGTTGGAGCGCTAGACAAAAGAAGCGCAAGTGTGACCTAGTGATGTCACTCAGAGTTCCCGTTAGCCGGTAATTACCGGACTATGACCGGTAAAATATGCTGAAGACCGGCAAATCTAAATCTCTCCGGTCAAAATAATTTCCCTTAGCACAATACCGCATCAGTTGCGCCACTTATGTGACAGACAAGAAGAGTATGTGACAGACAAGAATAGTAAATTCTAATGTCTAACATTTAATGTGGAGAATGAGTGTCCTGTATGGGTTGATTGTGCGTTGATCTGTTGGTAATGCCTCGGGGTTCCGGTGGGCATGTAAACAAATGCATAATGCTGCGCTATACTTTGCGGCCTCACCCGGTTGCATAGCGACGCTTATTGTTTAGGTGTCTTTTAACAAGCAGGTAGTCATATCATTAGCTAGAACTAGCTAGATCTGATCGATATGGACATAAACACGAGTGAAGTCTAATCTGACGGGAGAGAGAGATCAGCTGCTGCTGACGAGTCGACACGCAGCTCTGCATGATCATCTGCAGCGGTGAGCGGAGCAAAACACACACTTCAGGTTAGAATATCACGTAGCTATTTTAATTACCTCTCAAACTACCTAAACTAGTTATAGATATGTTTAGTTTGACTGGGTTGCTCATTACTGGATCCGCGAGCTGCATGATACTGACGGGCTGTCAGGAGAGAGAGGGAGCGAGCCGTTTATTATTCCCGTGTTATAAATGACTGTACACTTTTGAATAATGTAGTTAATCTACTAGAATTAGTTTGTTTAATATCGAATCATATCAATTTGTTTAAAAGCTCAATAAATAACAAAGAAGACCTTTGACCGGCACTTTTCTCATTTTGTCCGGAAGATTTAAACTTTAACGGACATGTTGACCGGCAAAAAAATATTCTAACGGGAACTCTGAAATTGTCACTATGTTAGAAAGTAAAGAAAGGAGTCCAATAGAGGCGTTTTCAGCAGGGGAGTGTTGGCAGTATTTACTTACATTTTGAAGATTAAAACTTGATGAGTTTTTTTTAGCATACTTTTAAGTTAAATACTTTTATATTTGAACTAGTCACTTATTGTCCTTAATATATAACACAGGTTACTCCTGCTGGGAGTGTTTTTAAAATAGAACTATTGGCTGCTTTTAGTTTGCTAAAGAGTTAAATTCATTGCATTTCACAGAGAAAATAGAAAAACAACTTCCTGATACAATCTCTCATGTGGAAACATTTATACTAAACTCTGGACAAGTAATGTTTGTAGCTGGCCGATCATGTGAGAAATGTCCGGTTGGAAATTCATTTGATTACATCTTACCAACAGTGACTCAGAGCTGTATGTGTGCAGGGGACCATTTTAACTGCTGGGAAACATGAAGTGATTCAGACTGAAATGGGCTATTTTACCAGTAGCTACATTCGCTTCAGAGGAAGGTGTGGGAGACGGGCAGCACTGAAACCTTTTAGGTTTCTATCTACATCATTGCACATCTCACTGTAAACACGGGCCTGCCTCCTCTAGGTATTTCACAACAGCTCTTTTTTTTTTTTTTGCTGATTTCGGTGCGGTTCAAAAGGATTTTACAATCTCTGAGGAAGTGTGTCCTCCCACGCTCTCCCCGGTCTTCCTCTCTGTGTCACTCTCAACTACCTTAACCTCTCTTTAGCACATCCTAATAATCACTCCAATTTGTTCCATTGTGTTTTTTATTTGGTGTTTGACTCATTCCGGTTGTATATGCTCCAGTTTCTAACGGTTTAAAGGCTGTATGGATGCTCTAATTGCAGGCATTTTCACGCAGTTGTGGTTTTACCTAGCCGTCTCACATTATGTAGAGGCTAGGATGCAACAGAAAGCAAGGTAGTGTGTGTTTGAGTGTGTGTGGAATAGGTTCATTATTCCATGTAATTTTGAGGAGGCTGTGTGGGTGTACTCTGGATGTGTTGGCCAAACCCAAAGTGCGGAAGTGTCAGGCGAGATATTTCACCATCCAACATGCATAAATTGTTGAGTGAAACATCAGTGCAGTGAGTATTTATCCAGATATTCACGAGGCTGAGTTCCAGGTCCTGATTCAGATTTTGAAAATGGAGAAAGTTGAAAAGTACAAGGTATTCGGACACATGACTCATAAACTCTATTAATGTTTGACAGGCAAACGCACGTGTAAGTGGCACACTTTTCAGCCATTTACAGGTCTTTTTAAAACTGGCCAATGTAAAGGAAAAGCAAGTGTCTGTTAAGTTGAGCCTATTCCAGCTTTAAACCTCCACACATCCATCAACTTAACTGGCCCAATAGGACTTTTAAAGAAGACATATCCTGCAAATGTTCAGGTTGATATTTGTATTTACATTACATGTTACTTGTTAGACGCTTTTATCCAAAGCGACTTTCATACTCAATACTGTGGGCAATCCCCACCGGAGCAATTTGGGGTGAAGTGTCTTGCCCAGGGACACAACGACATGCT